ATTACATTATTATATAAGTAATGTGCAGCTACCTTAAGTAGGGAACTTAATTAATTGTACTTAGTTAATTTTTAGAGCATTTCCAGAAGACTGTATGTTGTAATCATATAAAACTCTCTTCCATGTCCTAATTTTTAGTTTACTCCAGAAAAACCGACACTATTTTCTGTCTGGACTGAATGAAGATTGAGGAGTGAGCTATTTCAAAAGAACACTGCCTGTCTGAATTCATGATAATAAAAGCTGTGGGTTCATGTGACAAGCTGTTGTTGTTACTCCATTATATTTTTAGTGGTTTCATCATATCATAAAACAGATTTTTTTTTTTTGCTGTCACTGGATATAAAAAAAGATCCTTCGCACCAAAATGAGATAAAACAGAAATGTTCTAATAAAAATGGAAAACCCTGAAGCGCACAGGAGTTTTGCTGTGTCACAAAGCAGAGTGAAAATGGGTTTTTATCTCTCATGGTGCTTGCCAACAGGTATAATCTCATTTCATTCTCATCGTAATTGTAAAAAATTAATAGGAACCATGGGTGACTACATCAGACAGGCTCATGACAGTCATTGTTTTGGATACTGTGGAGTTAAATGCACGCTGAGGCACACAGACATACGGGACATTTAGACATTATGGCTGAATCAAGAAAGTCATCGCTTGTATTGTTTTGTTTCTCCATGGCGACATTTACATGCAGGCAGTCGGCTCGGCCAGATGTTGTTTATACTGTGGTTAGAGTCTTATTTCTTCATATATTTACACAATCTATTTTTGTAATGATGTCTTTGTTGGGTGAAAATCAACTAATTAAACCAAAGATGACAACTTTTATATCTTCTTCCTTCCTTCCTTCATTAAATCTTGGTTATTTGTTCTGTAATGAGAAAGATATTATCAATTTAGACGGAACAGTTAGGTATTGCCATGCTTTAACCACCTGTTGGGTGGATGAACTAGGCCTCTAAACTAGCTCCCTATGATCTTAACCAGGTTATTAAAGCCAAGCTACAAATTTAAAAAAGACCACCTGTTGGGCTGGATGAACTAGTAGGATACATTTTTATTTTTTTTTTTTTTTTTTTTTTTTTTTGGGGGGGGAAAAAAAAAAAAAAAAAAAGGGGGGGTATTTTTTTTTTTTTGGGGGGGATTTATTTTACAAAAAAAATTTAGTTAGGATTAGGGTGAGGTATTGCTAAATATTAAACATTTCTTACAAAATAAGTCTATATCCGCCGGCTGATGTAAATAAAATATTCTTCTATAAGTTCTACTTTACTCTATTTGGCAACTTCTAAGATTGCCTTTGCTGTTGGTGTTGAGCAATTAGCCTGAAAACAGTTGACTGCCAACCATTTACAGTATATATTAGTGGACGGAGTTTCCGGGTTTAAAAAGTGAAGCACATGTGGAAGAGCTTTAAACCTGCATTCTCACCCCTACTTCTTCCCTGTTTTATAAGCTCAGTGAACAGATTCCTAATGAGTTTGTGGTCTCAATCTCCAGTTTCAAGTCGCCTTCCATACAGCATGATGTTCAATTTGTAAATTCCCATTTAGAGTAAAATAGACGATTAATCTGAGTATCTGAAGCGCATACACTGCTTTAACTGTTAAACTGGGCAGGAACAGATTTCGGCGTACCGCTGTAATACAAGAAGTTTTGTAACCAGACGGCCACGATTTGTTCCTGTTGCAAACAAGAGCCAAAACCAAGTGCAGCCCAGCTTGCCGTATGTGACCCTCCAGCTCCACGCTCGTCCATATACGGTCGCTTTTGCCTCCAAAAAAACGGCCATAATGCCAAAGCTCAAGGCTTCGAAATGGTTGTCCACAAACCAATGGGTGACGACACAGAGGGGTTAGACTTGCTGTAAACGGGGTTGGTTTAGTGGAATTTGACGGCCATAACAAGAAAGAAATAAACCAAGAGAGGTTACAAGGCTTAGAAGAACTGCAGAGTTAGGTGATGATTCTCAGTGGCATCGTCAGTAGCCATTTGATCCATTGTCGATACATAAAAAACAAGATTAATGGAACTTTAAACCATTTTATAGTTGTTGATTTTTGGATGTAAAAAACGCTTGCTGAAATGTTTACAGATGTCACAGAAAATGTTCCACATAGAGGTAACAGTAATGTAACTGTAACAGCATATTTGTTGTGTGTTTACATCTACAACTGACTTGTGGCTAAACAGGAAAACAAGTGTTGTCAGTTTTAAGTGTTGCTAAATAGTATCATCACACCAAACACGCTTTAATCTTCTTCTCAAGAAAATTCTCTTGCTTAAAATGTCCATCAGTCAGTAATTTAGACAAGCAAGGAGCTTTGACATTTTTCCCTAAAATTAAAATCATTAAAAAAAAAAATCTAAACGACGCAAATTCCCAACACACACTGCTAGATGCTCAGATCTGTAATCCTGTTTGAAGATAAAGGACATTAAAGGGACATATTTTGCCGTGCTGAGAGAACAAACATGCAGAAAATGTGGCCAGAAAACATCCCGACGCTGCAGAAACACTCCCAGGATATTTGTATTTTAATGAGAGTGATGCAGATGGATGGAGAGCCAGATAATACGTTCCCGGTCAGAGTTCAAAGTGTGGCCCAAGAGCTGTCAATCATGCAGAACTTACATTATCCTCTAGTGTCTGCTGGGTACTAACGAGCAGACAACCCCCCCCCCAACGAGCCTGCAGCTGCTGTTCTGCGCGCGCACGCACACACACACACACACACCCACACACACACACACCCTTTTTGATATGAGTGGACATGTTTCAACTCCATGTGCATCACCTTAAAGTGCATGCTTTCTTTCAAACCTAATCCATCACAACAGAGCAGGTGTAGACCTGAACTGAAAACACCAGCAACAACTTGATACCAAATTAACTCCAGCAGCCAGAGTCTTGGGAACATCTTGTTCCCTGGTGCGACACGCGGGGAGTCGATTGATGCACCGGTACGTCCCAATGCTGTCAAGTCAGCCATTTTTCACATCATCATCAATACAGAACACACACCTTTAAGCAGTGGCTGGGTATATGTGCAAGTGGGCGTGTTGAGGCTGGGGGAGAGGGGGGTTACACAGACCTGATCACATAGACGGCCTCTCCCAGTCTCTATGGTAACCTGTTGGTGTACTGCCGTGTCTGGAAGGGTTTAATGGCTTGTCACTGCCATGGGAGCAAAACAGCTCCGCGGCATCTATAGTCCAAGACTTACTGACAATCAAACACCGCAGGGGAGGTGCATTTTTCTGTACCTCTGGTTGACATATTCACTACAGTTCACTGAGTTTGTAAAGAGCGGGTTTTACCTGCTGTGCATTGAAAAAGTCTAGACATACTGACATACTGGTGTTAATGGAGAAAGACAAGAAGTCTGTACCCACTATTCAGTTGGCTTTTCTTTCTGGATATAAAGGCTCAAAAAAACACAAATAAGTTAATTGTTTAATTTAATTAATTAAAAATGATGCACTGCATGTATACAACAGTTACTTTTTCTACAAGTGTGTGTGTGTGTGTGTGTGTGTGTGTGTTAAAAGCGGTTTGCTACAAACTGGTGCTCTAGTGCCACCTAGTGGATGTAATATTCCACTGCTGTACACTTTGACATTCATTTGACCTAAAGCAGGATATATTTTAGGACTACTGGGGACGAAAACTGATCGGGTTTTGCAGCAAATCATGCCATGTGTAGCAATTCAGATCACTGCAGTGTGGTTTTAGGTCTTCCAATGCTCAAACTGGATTAAATCTACATATAAATTCAGTCTTTAAAAACAGATAATGTTGTTTTGTAAAGCTCAAATGTAGAGATTAAGATCATTATGATGCCAGAATTGGCTAAGATTCAGTTGTAAGAACAAGATGAGAGATTATTTCAGATACACAAGAAATGCACACACATACTCCTGTCCCACAAAGCAACACACAGTATCATCCAGAACAAATAACATGCATACTTTTAAAAGGCCTACTGAGCCTCTGAAGCTGACAATGGACAGGTATGAGGAATAATGTGGAGGATAAACAGAGAAACCACAATTCTGGCACTCTATGCAGTGGATTAAATCTACATTTAAATTGGGTTTTTAAAACAGATACTAAGTTTTGCATTTATTAAAAGTTTAAATGTTGTTGTAGAGATCAAGATCCTTATGATGCCAAAAGTGGCTATGAGTCAGTTGTTGAAGTCAGATTCAGAATGGTTTGATAAAACAGAACAAAGAAATGGTGATAGAACTGGGCGGGGGGGGAATCTGCCAACACATATTAATCAAAATAACATTTTGATGTTGATTAGATAAACACAATCCTTGTTAATTTGTGTTTACAAGAATTTGCCACACAATCCAGATTTGATTAATGAAAACAGAGTGAATAGAAACAGGAAGAGGAAGTTTGTTTTTCATTATTTTGCCAGCTAGTGGCAATTTGTCTTTTTAATGAGTTGTTATGCACTCTGTTTATGCGTGAATAGCCGTTTTATGCTTTCTCATATAGTTGATTTGCCACTTCTGAATATGTGCAAGATTGCTCTAATCATTCTTTACAAAAGGTTAAAAAAACAAGAAAATATGGACATTAAGAGTTTTGAGGGTCTTGCTGATTGCAGTTACATACCTTTAAGACTTCAAACGTCCCTCTGTAAAGCTTCTTAGGGTCGTGGACTTGACCTCTCAGTCAACAGTTGGGTCTTTTTGCTAAAAACACTACGTGCTGCTAGTCCTGACCCTCAGAGACTAAATTAGCTCTTCAAAAAGTCAGCTGTGCCACACCTGCTGGATCTTAACACAACCCCACCCACACTGACAAAATGAAGCTCTTTACTCATTCAATTACAACAAAACTGTCCTGAGAGACACCTTGTTCAAAAACATGTCTCAAGAGGTTTCCTGTGTTTGAGTGAGAGGTAGAATAAATTGATATAAGGCAGATTACCACACACATATGCAAAATAATGTCACTTGACTGTAAAAAATATTAAAATGTGTCACGTTTTATTGGAAACAAATGAAATTTTGGCACCTTATTCGAAGACGTTTAACCCCTTGATCACAAAGGTCTTAACAATGGTACAGGTGGAAATACAAGGACAAAACAACCACAAAGTGTACTGTAGTGGAGCTGTGAAATTCACACCACCACTCAGTCAGTCAGGTTTAATAAAGTCTGGTGAACAGATGAACTGGTGAATATCAGCATCACAAAGTTACAACAATCATATATTTATACATACACAATCCCTGGGATAGCTTTTATGAAACAAGTTAGAAATCGGCGCCAAATAGTCCAGAAACAACTTCCATCTGCTGTGGAGTGGCTCTTACTTCCAGGAGCCAGACTTGCCCTTGGCCCCGCGGGAGGTCTTGGACGCTTTGGAGCCCCTCTGGTGGTCGCTGACTCGGTTCCGGAGCACGTAGATGTCGTACTTCTGCCTCTTGAGCTTCTCGGCCAGCTCGAACTTCTCGGCATGCAGCTGGTGGAGCCACTGCCAGAGGTCCTGCGCCTTCTCCGCCAGCTTCTCCTGGTTCAGGTGGTCTATGTTGAGCGGCTTCCGGCGCTCCAGCAGGGCCTTCTTCTTCTCCTCTCGCGCTGTCAGCTTCTTGCCCTTCTTCTGGTCCACCTTCTGCAGGTAGCCGCCGAAGGACTTGTTGGTGAATATCGCTTTCTTCTTCGCCTCCTCCTCAGCACGCAGTTTGGCTGCCTCTTCCTCGCGCCTCGCCCTCTCCTCAGCCAGCCGCGTTTGGCGTTCCCGATCCTGCTCGGTGCGGACACGCTGCTGTTCTGCCCTGTCGGACCTGCGGCGCTCAATGCGGTTACGCAGGGCGATCAGCTCTTCCTCCTCTTTCTGGCGGGTGGAGAAGTGCGACTCGATCAGGGTCTGGAGATCGTTGAAGTCCTTTTCGACCCTCTTGCGGTGCAGGTCATCAAAGTCCACCTTCTCGCCATCAGGGAGCTTTGGAGGGGCGATATTTGGCACATAAGTGGTCTTGTGCCGGGGTTTGGACTCCTCCTCATGCTCATTCTCCTCTGTGTGCTCTTCTTCTTTCTTCTCTGCTTCATCATCACACTGCTCCTCTTCCTCTTCTTCTTCCTCCTCATTCACCTCCTCCTCCTCCTCTTCCTCCTCCTGCTGTTCGTACTCCTCCACAATTTCCTCAGTGTCTGACATGATGGTTACCTCGCAGGCTTTCTGGGTAAGAGAAAGTAGGATGAACACCAAGACCAGCTGGTGTCTCGCACACAAGAGATGACCGGGGGTCTCGGGCGTGCAGCTCGGGGGTTTTTAAGGGTTCAGTCTCTACCATGTGACCGCTGGCTGAGCAAAGTCTCCGGAGTGTAGGTCAGCAGCAGGGCGGATTTTGAGACAGATGGAATAGTCTATTTTCTCCTCACCAAGTCTTGTCAGCCACATACGCCCCCCACTTATCCCCGATAGACCCCCCTACCGCTCTCTACTCTGACCCTGCAGCCCTCCTCATTCCTTTGTAAGGACAAGATGAGAGACTATTTCAGATACACAACAGATGCACACACATGCTTGTGTTTTCCAGTCCCACAAAGTAACACAGTGTCATCCAGGACAAATAACATCCGTACTTTTAAAGAGCTACAAGAGCGCACAAGAGTCAGGGATGTGGAAGCAGAAATATGGAGGATAAAGAGAGAAAAATGTACCATAACATTTGAAATTTTAGGAAACTAGCTAACCTGTGGTGATAGTTCAAAAGCCACTGCGGCAGGCATGCAGTGTTTAAGAACTTCCATTAACAAAGCATTCCAATCTCTTAAAGCCGGTGAGGATTTTAATGACAGGAAGTTACAGCTGTCACATTTTCCTATAGCATTACCACACTGAGATGTTATTTCTGTGTTAGAAAACTACGCTCTTAGTCTCTGCAAATAAACGGAGGATTATAAGCTCATTTCTCATCCGTCTGTCTTATTTCATTGTGTTTATCTGCCTTTATATCTGCACTAGAGCACTTTAAGTAAACATGTATAGTTATTATCAGGGGATGGAGTGTGGGGGCGGCTTCTGGGGCTGCAGCCCCGAAATGTTTTCTCAAAAGCCACAAATCTTTTAAGCTTTTAAAATAACATCAATTTTGTGTCATTTCCCCTCTGTGCATCTCTGGCTGGAAAATCAATGAAGCAAAAGTTGTATTACGGTTATACAGTATGTGGAACCCCAACATAGTTTAACAAAAATAGCCCTCAAGATGAGTAATGCTGTTTACAACAAATTCCTACTATGTTATGTAACTTAAAAATAATCACATAAGTCCCTTTTTGGCTCTTTTTAGGTGGTGGGAGTGAACATGAGTCATCCTGAACATTTGTTGTGTTCTGGTTTCAGAATAGGATAGAACAAAATAGGATGCAGGCTCAACAGGAGGATTTATATCCCAAATGATGTATACATTTTTAGGTAGTATTAGGACTGCACAGTTAATCTAAATATTATTGAAATCGCAATATGGCCAAGTGCGATATGCAAGTCGCAGCATTATAACGAAATACTGTAGCTCTGAGGGGAGGCCTTGGCCTATAAATCTTGTTCTCCAGATTTAAGAAAACATGTTTATTTGATACAGACCCCCCCAAAAAATCTCACATCATGATTTTAATCATAAAAATGAAAATTGTGATGCAAAAATTATCATTCTAACTAATCGTGAATCATATCGCAATCATAATATCTGTCAAAACAATTGCTATTTAATGTTTCTACCATATCGTGCAGCCCCCTCAGCATTATATTATCTCAGATGGCTTAAAGAATAGTGCATATAGCTGCCCTCTGGACCCTGCTAGGTTTGGTCTAAGCCCTGAATGTTTACAGAGTCTGGCTCTGCTACAACGGTCACTCAGTGCATTTTAAATAAAGTCTAATGTTATTTGTACACTATCAGTTATTTCTGTAAAGAAAGGCAACCCTAACCACCACAAAAAGACCTCCGGTAAGAACAATGACGCGCAAGATGGGCTTTACTGCTCCGGCCTCGTCTCCACTTCGGAATGTAATTAAAACATTCTTTCTATTGGAGGCTTTCTGCTTTCAGTGCTGAGTGGATTAAAGTGCAATTGCCCCCACGCGGCAACATTTAAATGCTGATGTCAAGAATGTATGTTCCCAAGTCTTGAGTTATCAGTGGAAAAGGACCAACGCAGTTTTTAGAGGATGAGATAACTGATGGGGAGAGACAGGCGCTCCGCTGTGTCTGAGAATCCCAATTAAACTGCTCCATTCGCCTCTTTAGGATAAAGCTGCTGCCGTTATTCTGCTCTACGTGTGTGTGTGTGTGTGTGTGTGTGTGTGTGTGGGTAGATAACACATTATCTCCTGGGGTTAGATTTCGGTAATATAAATCTTCTGGAGCTCCAACTGTGTGAAGATAGGCTAATTGTGGCCTTAGAGGACCAAAAAACAAATCTTAATGCCTATGAGAATGTCCCATGGCTTGTCTCACTGAAACATGCCTGTGCACAACATGAGGACAGCAGGTGGCTCCAGCATAATCAAGGCACTCTGGGTTGCTGGTGGCAAGGGACAACTGTGTCCATCAGCACAGAAAGGCAACAAATGACGTCTATTAATAGAGACACCCACTGCTGTTTAACAGAGCTCATAATGAACGAATAGAGTGATATAGCACAACTCATGTATGTCTAAAGTCAATGAAACTGCCATTAAATTAGGAAAAAAAACAGGATAAAGACAGAAAGAAGTTCTTAAAGAGGTTAACATCCTGCTAGAAATTAACCTACATCCAAAATAAAGGTATAATAAAGTGAAATTGAAACTTTTCTTATTGAAGAAAAGTCTGCGCAGTTCATTGACTTTCTGGTTGCACAGTGACCTCGTGTGGTGAAAACAGTGCAGTGCAGTTAAATGTGTCCCACAATATTCCTCCTCTCCTGTTGCAGTTAAAAGGTCTCCTTACAGTAAATATTATCTGTCACTAATGCTGCCAGGTTGAGGACAGGAATTGTCCATGCCGATAAAGACAATAGATTTATAGATTATCCCAAAAAATCAACACTATTTATTATTGATTTTCTATGACACAAATATTTAAAGGTTTATGAACTCACCCAACTGACTGTGTTGTCACAATTTTGAATGATTTGTTTAAAGAATTAACAATGCTGACATGGTGTTTCTATTATTTTTTTCTTCCCATTTATAAGAATAAGGGTAGACAGAAACACCTCTCTGTATAACGGGGCAGATCTGGTGTCAAAGGCTGTCAAATTTAACACATTCATTTAGATTAATTTAAGATTACAAGTTGCAAAACAAAAAACTAATTTAATTATCTGTTATGCTCAAATTTTAGACTAAGTGATCGTCTTAAATTCAATAAAAAAGTCATGTATTTGGAAAAATGTCTGGAAATAAAACAACATTTAGATATTTTTAATCTATGCTTTACTAATAATGTTGTGTTTTTGAGTTAAAATATCTTCATTTGGGGGCTTTTTCCAAGCAGATATCAATACATGAGGTTGTTTGAGAGCCTTGGCCCTGTGTTCCCTTTATGTTACAAGCTGCCTGAAGCTGAGATGCAATTAAGTTAAGTGGAAAAACCTGGCCAGTGTGTGTCAGTCGCTTAACCATCCGCCAAATTAAATCAGCCTTATTTCTGCCCCCTTTAAAGTCTCCATGCCACCCCATGGACATTTCTCTTTTCTGTATAATGCAACACAATGCAACAGCAACACAGACTGCAGCCTCCAACATACAGCAGAATGGAAACAGTTTCAATAGAAGTTCAGTATTGTAACTTGATTTATTGCAGATATTTGAATCTGTCAGCGTTCAACGGTGGATGGTGCAAGCCTAAAACCAACAATAAAACATAAAAGATGAAGCAGGAACCTCAAAAACCTGACTGAGAAAATAAAGCTGTTATTTTGTGTTGGTTAAATAATGCATAATGCAGTTTTTCCCGCCATTGGCAGATTAATGGTCGACGCTGGTTTTAGGTTTAAATATATAAAAACACAGATTGTTATGGTATGTGACAACTAACCTTACGTTTTTATGTTTGTTAAATACTCCTGTAATGACTTTGATTAAAAATATAAACTTACATGAGATGCAGTTGCAGGCTTTTGGTAAGAACTGCTCCCCTCCATCTACTAACTGACACTGATCTAATCAATAACAGTGCTCACCTGTAACCAATACACACAAAGAAAAGCTTAACTCCCCCTAGTGGTTGAATCAGAAAGTGCATATATATGGCTCCTGAAGCACTTTAAAAATCTCTGGATCTGGCGTCATTGCTGTTGTTTTCTCTCCTCTCTACATTGTAATCCCGACAATGTAATCCCATATAATTATATGTAATAAAATGTAGTCAGTAATAGCCTAATCCAAGTATCACAGTATTAATGTAACTGTATTACTTTCCATTACTTTTGGATTACCTCAACACCAAATATCAATTAGTTGACTTTTAAATATTCTTTAAAACAACAGATAAATGTAATGGAATTAAATATGTTACATGTAATCTGTTACTCTCCAAGCCTGCGAGGGAGTAGTGTAGCATTCAATACTCCTCTTCAGCTGGAAACTCTGTATGTAGCCTTTACATTTTTGAGTACAGATATCCCCTCATTAAAGGACATATTTTATGGATATTTCATATTACATTAAATGCATCAATAATATTACAGCACTAATAAATTGTACAATTAACCCAAATTGTGAACAACCTCGTTTCCCAAACTTAATTTAAGTCATCAGTTATTCAGTGACTACAGAAAGCAGAGGAATTTGATTATCACCTCAGAAACAGGTCAAGTATTTCACACCTCAGGAGATCAAACAGTTTATTGATTGACATAATTCAACCTTTGTTAAGAGTTTGATCTGACCCGGTGCTCACCCTGTTTTTATCTGTATAATCACAGAGCTGGTGTCTGACACTCAGGCAGAAAACAGATACCAGAAACAAACTCACCTCACACAGTTTGTGAAGAGTCCTTTTATTGAACACATTAGTACACAAAGCTTGTTTTTATCTAAATGGATCCATACATTAGACTTTTCCACAGGCAACGGCTTTAAACAGCCTCTTCTCTCCGGTCCTCCTCACAAATATTTTACATAAAAACACGCATTATAGTGTGATTTAAAAAAGCAAATCGTAAGAAAAACTAGTTCAGTCTCTATTCACAATAATAAATGGGTGGATAAATGAAGCAGTGTGAGCTAAAAGGCTGTAGTGGCACACATAATAACTGGCTTTTTAACTATAAACATAAGGTGAGAGTAACAGATATGGCGGTGATATACTTTATGTACCCA